AGAAAGAGGGTGAAGAGGGGGGGGGGGTGGAAGGGGTAGGCAGTGATGGCAGAGTGCAGGGCGAAGGGCAGAGTTGGGGAAAATAGGCAAGTGGGGGAAGTTGATGCGGAGGTGAGCACACAGGGCAGGAGAAGCATGAGGTCCTTGCCTAATGAGGGCACAGTCCTTGCCTAATGACCACACCTGGGACTGCAGGTTGGTCACATGATGTTTTGCCTAACAACCACTTCACTTAGCAATGGAAATTCCAGTCCCAGTTAGGGTCGTTAAACAAGGACTGCCTGTAATGTTATCAGGCATATGAAAAACATAGTGATTGCATAGGGAGTGTTCTATGCATATGTTATACTTAATGGATAAAATCTGGGAATGTTGTCTTTGATCTCATATTTGGAGATAAAGAGCAGATTTACTTTTGAATTATTCTAATGTTTGCAGTGGATTTTAGTGAATAAATCTCTGTTAGATGCTATAAGGTTTCAGGTTGTGTAGGGCAGTTGAGATAACCACCCTAATGCTAAACCTTTTAATATCTAACAGAGTTTTATTCATTAAAATCCACTGCATATATTTTAATATATTTTTAAAAACTATATTTTAAGTCACTTATGTAATCGCCAACAAAACACAGTTTATTTGTGAGAATATAGTAAACAATGTTGTCTTTTATATTTACAGATTGGGCATTAATTTTCAGTGATGTGCTGTAGTAGGTAAAGGCAAGAAAAGCCAGATTAGGTAGCATAATCTACCAGGTGGTAGACATTACCTTCTTGCCAAGTACAGGTAGACCTTGCTATCTGACCTCAATTGGGACCGGAACTTCAGTCGCTAAGCAGTGCAGTCGTTAGGTGAAACATCATGTGACTGCATTGCTTAGCAACTGCAATCCCAGCAGTCCCAGTTGCCATCGCTAAGTGAACGCCCCGGTTGTTAGGCGAGGCAACTTCCTGCTGGCTTCCCACAATCAAGTCAGTGGGGAAGCCAGCAGGAAGTTGCAA